TTCCAACACAAGGGGGCCATTTGGGGCGAAACCCAGCACAACAATTGTTCGGACAGTCCTTTCATTCCACCCCGGGCTTCTCGCTTGCTTCTGCCACCGGGCCGAGGCTGCCAGACATTCTGAAAAGGTGCGAAAAGGTGTTGCTTGCTTGCTTGCTTGCTTGCTTGCTTGCCTGCCTGCCTGCCTGCCTGCCTGCCTGCCTGCCTGCATGCTTCTTTGTTGCTTTGTTTCTTTGTTTCTTTGTTTGTTTTGTTTGTTTTGTTTGTTGGTTGTTTGTTGGTTGTTTGTTTGTGTGTTTGTGTGTTTTGCTTGGTTTGGTTTGATTTGGTTTGGTTTGGTTTGTTTGTTTGTGTGTGCGTGTGTGTGTGTGTTTGTGTGAAGTTATATATATATATATATTTGACAGAGCTGTATGCACCTTACTGTCCTGATGGTGCGTGTTTGACTTGTGCACTGGTTTGCTTTCTTCACGCTGATTTCACAAACAGCTATTTGGAGTTCCGATCCGGAGAGCTACCTCAAAAGTCGGATTCGAGTCGTTTTCAGGTTTCGGGTTTTGGGTTTCGCTAGTCGAAACCAAATTTAGATGCCGGTTTCGGGTTTCGGGCTTCGTCGATCGAAACCAACTTTAGATGTCGGTTTCGGGTTTCGGTTTTCGTAGGTCGAAACCAACTTCAGATGTCGGTTTCGGGTTTCGGGTTTCGTAGGCAGAAACCAACGTCAGATGTCGGATGTCGGTTTCGGGTTTCGGGTTTCGTCGATCGAAACTAACTTTAGATGTCGGTTTCGGGTTTCGGGTTTCGTAGGTCGACACTCACTTCAGATGTCGGTTTCGGGTTTCGGGTTTCCTAGATTAATTAGATAGATTAGATTAGGGTAGAATAGATTAGGTTAGATAGATTAGATTAGGTTAGGTTAGATTAGATAGACCAGATTATAGATTAGATTAGAATTAGATTAGATGAGATGAGATTAGGTAGATTAGATTAGAGGTTAGATTAGAATTATATAAGTTAGATAGATAGATTAGATTAGATTAGGTTAGATAGATTAGGTTACATTAGGTTAGATTAGATTAGAATTAGATTAGGTTAGTTTAGGTAGATTAGACTAGATTAGATTAGGTTAGATTAGATTAGATAGACTAGATTAAACTAGAATTAGATTAGATTATGTAGATAAAATTAGACTAGATAGAATAGATTAGATTAGATTAGGTAGATCAGATTAGGTTAGATTAGATGAGACTTAGGTTAGATTAGGATTAGATTAGATTAAGTAGATTAGATTAGATTAGGTAGATTAGATTAGATTAGATTAAAAATAGATTAGATTAGGTAAATTAGATTAGATTAGATTAGAAATGGATTAGATTAGGTAGATTAGATTAGATTAGGATTGGGCTGGATTAGGTAGATTAGATTAGATAGGTTAGATTAGATTAGAATTAGATTCGATTAGGTAGATTAGATTAGGTTAGATTTTATAAATTTGATTAGGTTAGAATTAGATTTGCTTTGGTTAGATTAGGTAGATTAGATTAGGTAGATTACATTAGGTAGATTAGATTAGATCAGATTAGGTTAGATAGATTAGATTAGATTCGATTAGATTAGATTAGGTAGATTAGGTTGGGTAGATTAGATTAGACTAGATTAGGTAGACTAGATTAGATTAGGTAGATTTCGGGTTTCGGGTTTCGTAGTTTTTGAAACCAACTTTAATAGTCGGTTTCGGGTTTGGGGTTTCGGGTTTCGGGTTTCGTAGTTTGAAACCAACTTCAGCAGTCGGTTGCGAGTTTCTGGTTTCGGGTTTTGGGTTTCGGCCGATCGATCCTCGAGCTCAGGAAGCCAAGTCTTCAGAGTCGGTTTCGGGTTTCGTAATTTGAAACCAACTTTAGTAGTCGGTTTCGGGTTTCGGCCGATCCTCGGGAAGCCAAGTCTTAAAAGTCGGTTTCGGGTTTCGGGTTTCAATCGGTCCTGGAGAAGTCAAGTCTTCAGAGTCGGTTTCGGGTTTCGGGTTTCGCGGGTCGAAACCAACTCTGCAGATCTCTCTCCGGATCACGTCTCAGCTAATTTGGGCCTGTCTGAATATGTTTGGATAACAGTGCCATTTGCTTTTCTCACTTGGAATACCTTCGTGTTGAAGCGCAAAGCTTGAAGCTTGGTGAGGTGCGGCTTGTTCGCAATTGCAAAGCTCAACAATGACACCTACGAGTGCAAGCTTTGCAAGGACAGAGAGGGGGGCCGTAAAGAATCTCCCATCTCAAGCCCGATGGTGTTGGAAGATGTTGGAAGGAATATATTCATTCAGTTGCTCTTCAAGTCTTCTCCGCACACAACGTGGCCCAGAAGTTGTTTGTGCGAATTACAAATGGGAAAATAATGGGGATCCGAGTGGCACTCAGGTAGTTCAGAAGGGTTGATGGCTTACCCTCACCCCGTCAAAACTCAAACTGTAATTTGGGTGACGGAAGTCTGGCATGCCATGGCACATGGCCACTCGAATTGAATGGGCGGGCCTTTGATCCAAGATTGATCCATGAATTGTCCACTTCTAATAGTTTGGAAGTTTGCTGATCAATTATGATGGTTTTAAGATGCTTGAAGCTGCGCATTTGAATCATTTGAATGATTTCACCTGTGCTTTCGACAGTCATCAGGATAAAGCCAAAGTTTCGCAGATTTGCCTTCCGTGCCCTGGCGTGGCAGCGCAGAGAAGGCAACCTGTAAGGGAATCATAATTGGTTCTGTTGTAATTATCAGTAGTATATTATACTACGTTATATTTTTGTTATATATATATATTTATATTTTATTTGAATTTAACCTATATCATATTTTGTTTTATTTTATTTTGATTTATTGTACTATACGATCTTTTAACATATTACACTATATTATAGCACATGTTTTATCAAATTGTATTATGTTTTATGTTAATTCAGCGTTTTAATGTCTATGTATTTTTTTATATTTACTTTTGTTGTGCTATATTTTCTATTAGATTATATTACATTAAATAATGTTTGTGTATTTTTACATTATTATATTTTAACCTATATCATAATATGTGTCATTGTTTTGATTTTGATTTATAGTGTATTGTATGATATTATATTACATTTTATTTATCAAATAATATTATGTTATTTTTAGTTTTTTTATGTTTTAATATATACTATATTATATTCTATTTTATTATACTATGTATTTTATTAGATTGTATTATATGTTTAAAGTAGATTATTTTTTGTTGTGCTATATTTTATTCTTTAGCATTTTATTACACTATATGTTTTATCATTATTACATTTTAATATTATATTTCATTTCAATTTTATATTAAACGATATTATATTGTATTATGTTTTATTATACTACAATATGTTTTAATATATATATATATTACTGTACATTATTTTGCGTTATATTATTGATTTTTCTTTTACCGCTATGTGTAAAACAATTCTATGTCTTAGAAATGTTTATGAAACGATTCTAAGCCGTTTTTTCTAGCACTTAGAAATCGCAGATATTGCGATGCAAATTTTGGGAAAATATCTAAGTGCTAGGAGGTCGCAATAGATAAAAATTATTCTATGACGTGATTCTATAGTGTTATTTGGTTGTTTTTTCGGATCTTCGATAGGGCAGAACTGCAGTGGTCCTGGTGTGCTTTCAAGCTGAACTTGTGTGGTGTTGCGAAGGACTTACTCATACTCACACTTTGTAATTATGATGTTTTGATATGCTGTGGTGCAACGATGTACAACATGTTTGAATATGAAAGATCACTCCATCAGGAACTATCCATTCTTAAGGAACTACGGTTCAGGAACTTCAAATCCTCAGCTCAGGAATTACGAGTCCTTGCTTCAGGAATTGTTCAGGAACTGAAATGTGGAATTGAGGAACTAACCTTTACTGTGCTCTTGCTTACAACTCTAAGTAGGTCATGATCTGAATTGTACATCTTACTTCGGTACATATTCATTATCAAATGCTTTCCCCCTTGAACTTCCAAGCAAAAAATGGATGATTTTCTATCTTGCCCCATCAGACATGGTGAAGCAAAGTGAAATCACACATCAGAAAAGGTACGCGTGCAAGCTCATGATCCAAGAGTTGATGACCATGAACATCCTCCCACGCTTGGTTCTACATGCCACTCGGCCGCATCAACAAGTGGCTGGCTGGCCAGCAATTTATCAAAATTTAGCCCCAGGAAGTGACCCATATGTGAAGTCGGGTAGCTTCAGTCAGCACAAAAATATGCAGAAATCATGTTTTGTGGTTTGTAACCTATTTTACAAAGCCTAAGGTTGAGCATTGCCATTTTTGTGACCTACCCCGAGTGTCCTTACAAATATTGGTACACAACCTCACCCCTGTAATCTACAAGAGGACACTGAATGCGGCACATCAGAGAGGAATGAAGTCAACAGTGAGAGGCAGAATGCATCCGCTTGCTGGCAAACTATCTCTAGTGTTTCGTCAATGTTGCAAGAAGCCTGTGAGTTTTTGCATGACCCACGCAAAAATTCTTTACTACCGTCGGAATATCAACTTCACACGTCTTTGCGCCAAAAGCTTGACAGAACCGAGAAGTCCTCAAACAACAGAAGCCGAAGATTGCCCTGACCCATGGTTCGCATTCGTTTACCATTGGTTTCAATGATAGATCTGATAGGCTTCAGGATTTCATATTAGTATATCATAGTATATGTATATCTGTGTGTAAGTTATAAGAAGGTACTATTACTGGACTATAACTATACATGCATATTAATGCATATTAGATTTTGCATTTTCCGGTTGTTTTTGTCCCAGCAGCAACTGCTTGCAATGCGCATCTTACCAAGGTTCAGTGAAAAGCTGCGTGCCCTGAATGCTGTAGACAGAGATGCACATATCTGCTCGATGTTGCTTTGCAACAGATCCCCAAGAGCTTTCTGGCATGTGCGTATTCTCCTCTGCATTATGTTTCGCTGCGTTGCGAAAAGGATCGATCGGGTATAGGGATGCCAGCGCGACTGTACTTGTTGGTGCACGATGGGACATGTATGCACGAGTGTGGTATGTATTACTGTATGTATGTCTACTATATGTGCGGCATGGTACAGCTATCTTCGGACCATTAGCCAATTGGATTCCTTCCCAGATCTTTGATGAGAATTGCTCGTGCTGGACTCGTGCTACGGATTCAAGCAAGCCCCAACCAGATTGAAATCAGTTTGGGCTGCAACTTTTGTTTTGCATGCTTCTGGAAGATTTCTTTGCATTTGACTAGTCCCTTTCCAGGAATTATCATGTTTGGTGTTTTCAGGTGTGCGTTTTGGTCCAGACGACGCGAGTGGCTTGCAGCCAATACCATGTTGGGATTGTGTCATTCGGCAGCCAAAGAAGTTGAAAGAAGAATAAAGCGTATTCCTGTAAGGTCCAAGATCACTCATCATCTCTCATCATGGTGTATTGGTCGCTTCCCATTGAAAACACACAAAGGAAGGATCAAGATCATGCTGTGAAGGTATGAGGGTGGTCTCCTTTCTTCTTGCCATGTCCACTACTGCATTGGCTGGGATGAATTCAAAAGCCATGTCTCCGATTGATGAATTGGCAAAGGTATGGTGGCTCTGTAAATGAATGTACGATTGCACAGCGCAGAACATAAAAATCTATCCAAAGCTTCAAGCAACCCCTCAACACGATCCGCTTTTCCTCATGAAGATCATAGTTCCATTTGACTTGCGGGCACGGGCGTGACCGTGGGTGCGACCGCCCGATCCCCAGCTGGAGGATGATGCAGGTTTGGATGGTTTGGACAGCTTGAAGAGTTTGTGAGACTAGCCGTGACTACACTAGCAGTCACAGAGTTTTACCCCTCGTCTTGCCCGACTGTTGACAATGTCGTCCCTACCAGCTGAAAACGTAGTAAAAATAGGACCTATTTGCATCGTCGCCTGTCGCTATCTGGGTGTTTATACCGGAACGCACGGCATAGGGAGCTGTGCAGCTGTCTTGCACACCATCATCATGATCATGATTCGTGATCATGATTTTGATCATCATCATCAACAACAACAACTACTACTACTACCACTACCACCACCACCACCACTACCACTACCACTACCACCACCACCACCACCACCACGACTACTACTACTACTACTACACTACTACTGCACTACTACTACTACTACTACTACTACTACTACTACTACTACTACTACTACTACTACTACTACTACTACTACTACTACTACTACTACTACTACTACACTACTACTGCACTACTACTACTACTACTACTACTACTACTACTACTACTACTACTACTACTACTACTACTACATTATCATCTTCCCAATTGAATGTAGTTTAAGTTTAACGGAGTGTGGGAGTTTAGGTTCCCAGTGCCTTTCTTGAAGTTTAACGGGGATGGGAGTTTATATTCCTGATACCCTCCTCGATCTTCCCACTTGAATGTGAAGTTTAACGGGGTTGGAGTTTGTATTCCTGATATCCTTGTTGATCTTCCCAATGGAATGGAATTTTAACAGGCGTGAGAGTTTATATTTCTTTAAATTTCTGAATACCCCTCTTGTTCTTCCAAATGAATGTGAAGTTTTACCCTTGCTGATCTCCTCGGGCCAATGTCAAGACGAATGGGTGTTGACATATCCATACATGTTCATACATATTCCGCATCATACCGAATGATGTTAAATGGTGCGTGACAGGTGGGGTCCGGGCGAAAAAGTTTAAGCAAAACAGCAAAACGCCAAGGATTTGTTAGATTTTTTCCAGTTGCCAAGGACGCCCAGGGGTAATTACACGTGCACGATATGCTTGCTTAGTTCCATTCTAACAGAATGGGGGCGCTAACCTGCTTTCGACTCGAGCACTCAATTTTTTGACCTTCTACCAGCTGGTAAACAAGAATCATCGTGATGAGTATTGTGATCAATACTTATCAATACTTATATATCGATCAAGAGAGTGATGATTTCCCGACCAGCTGACGGGTTCTAAAGTTTTGAAGGGCATTGACGCAATTTTGGGCACTGCTTGTCCAAAGACAGGAAAGGTGCCATGGTAAACGTGCTTTGGGGCCGGACACCAAGTGTTGTGTCAATGTGTGTCAAAACTTCTGCAGGCAGACAAATTCTAGGTCAATTCTGTTTGCGGAAGGCTGCCAAAATACTGTATGACGGGATCAACTCAGCATTAAGCGATTGCAATGAGATAATCAGATATGAACGCTAAAGGCTCGCACTGTTTGGGTTGCTGGCCAGTTGCGGGCAGTACGTAAAGATCTGGTGTGAGTCATTGTTGTTCCTGAGGCGTGCACGCAGTCCAGCTGGAGGGGCCATGTACAGCTACAGATGTCGGGTCATCAGTATCCGCAGCTGTCACAACCGTGCTGAGCGGATTATTTAGATAGCAGAAGCTGACTTTGTTTTCGCACCATGGTCTAGAATTCTTCGCTGGATTCTTCAAACAATGGAATTGACTGTGTTTTTCCCCACATCTTTGTGTGGGGTTCTTGTTTTTGGTTGTGCACTCCCGCCTGCCGCCTCCTCCCGCCCGCCGCCTGCCTCACACACAACTTGCCCACAACTTACTCACACACACAACTGGTCCACACACAACTTACTCACACACAACTTGTCCACAAACAACTTACTCACACACAACTTGCTCACGCACAACTTACTCACGCACAACTTGCTCACACACAACTTACTCACGTACAACTTACTCACACACCACTTGTACTCACACAACTTGTACTCACACACAACTTCCTCACACACAACTTCCTCACACACAACTTACTCTCACACAACTTGTCCCCACACAACTTGTCCACACACAACTTACCCACGCACAACTTACTCACACACAACTTGTCCACACACAACTTTCTCACACACAACTTCCTCACACACAACTTGCTCACACACAACTTGGCCACACACAACTTACTCACACACATCTTACTCACTTACAACTTGCTCACACACAACTTGTCCACACACGACTTACTCACACACACACACACAAACACACACACACACTTGCGAAGTCATGAAAGACGGTCTCTTTTCATGAATGCAAAGTCTGATTACCTCATGGTAGATTGAAGGCATCACTCGGCCATACCGAGTTAAAAAGGCCAAGCTTATCCGTTGACATTTGAATGTCAGGTTGTTTAAAAGAGAAACCAATACGACTCAATCAAACGTGATCATGAAATGACTGAATGACGGCATGCAGGTTCTTGGGTTAGCCTGATCCCATAAAGTACTAACAGATACGAATATGACCACCAGCTATGACCCCAACATATTGGGTATGTCATCCAGGTGCATCATGCAGGTACGTTTTCACAACCTAAGGTGAGTGTCTTCATTGGCACAAGACTCACCAAAGGTCCTTGTGCCCCCTGCTATGAATTAAAATGCAACGGTATCCAAAATTTATGGTGGAAAGCAGTTGAAAACTAGTTGGTTGGAATCAGTCGCAAGAAAGTGAGGAACTCTTTGGTACAGAGCTTGACACACACAAAAAGGCACGAAGCCGGGCTGGTATTTCTTTAAAGGCGAGAATGGAAGACATCATCAATAGATTGGTGAGAAACCGCAGAGGAAAATTTTGCAACCTCATCAGCGTGTTAGTAAATATTTTGCCGCAGCCAAAAGGTTAGGTATGCTTGAACTGCCTTCTGTACAGGACGCGTTGGCAGTCTGTTTTGGAGAACCCTTTCTGTACGTACAGCTGAATGAGTTGGTTGAGATCATCACGGACAAATTGTTTGGGAAACGTGTATCTGCGAATTAAGGTTGCACGGGACTTTAGTCCGGACAAGCGGAGACGCATGCTGCCAGCAGAATGGAGATCACGAATTTTCCTTAGTGGAGGTACTTGGTACCTTACGGTTCGTTGCACGACATCGATGGTGAACCCAAGCAGTGTACCATCTTCGACGGTTTCCAACTCCACCGGCGCTTGATAAAAGAAACAATCGGAAAGCACTCGCATGGGCAATGCGGAGCGAAATCGATGGTCAAACAAAACGAACCTGTTGTCCACATATCGTGTGAACAGAAGCTGGAGTTGGCTGGATTGAACAAAAGTTAAATACGCATTTCTCCAGCTGCGCTCTATGAGCGTCACAGCCAAATTACTGAGAGAGGGAGAGATGTGTGATCCAATCCCTGCTCCACGATGCTGTACCCAAATTTGGTTGACAGCTTTAAACACGTGGGTACTTAAAGAAGCCTGGACAATTGTCAAAATATCTTGAACTCGAACGGTCTTGATATTCGATGATGTCTTCTTGCAATGTCCCACAAATGAAGTGTGGACAACTGGCCCTTTCAGAGCCATGTTGACCGAAACTTGTGTTTCACCATGTTGATTGACCCATTCCGTGGTCAATTGTTGAATCGCATCAAGTAAACGTGATTGAGGGACGCTGTTGAAAAATCCAACAAGATCATCGTTGATGGCAGCAAATTGAATATCGTCATCTGTACGAAAAAAACCGTTGATGGATATGTTTCCAAATTTCAGGAACTGAAAGTTGACCGGCTTCTTGCGGCCAAAGCATCACACACATCGTATCAAGAGTTCTGGCGGTGGCCTGCATGAGTTTACCATAGCGTGAACCAAAATACGAAATCAATGTACGTCCTTTGTTGAACATCTTCTTTCGTTTCAGATGTACAAAGCCGTGAGGCAGTGTCGAGGATGTGTTAATCCCCCATCTGTATCGGTTCTGCAAGGACGGTGTCAAAGCAGTAGCAATGAGCTTTTGAGCATCTTCTTCATTTCCAGGAAAACGGGAAAACAATTCAGGATCATCCCATGTTCTGCAAGCAGACTCAAAGTAGAAGGAAGGACAAAACAGGGTGATGCGATGAATTTCATGATCAGCATGATGAATCACCACATTGGGTGGTAACCATTGAAGGAGGTGCTTGATGTTG